ATACACCACTCATCATACACCACTCATCATACACCACTCTTCATACACCACTCACCATACACCACTCATCATACACCACTCATCATACACAACTCATACACCACTCATCATACATCACTCATCATACACTACTCATCATACACCACTCATCATACACCACTCATCATACACCACTCATCAAACACCACTCATCGTACACCACTCTTCATACACCACTCACCATACACCACTCATCATACACCACTCATCATACACCACTCATCATACACCACTCATCATGCACCACTCATCATACACCACTCATCATACGCCACCCTTCAGACACTACTCATCATACACCACTCATCATCCAGTTAGCTCAGGTTTCAAGAGCTCTAGCTCCAGTTAGCTCTAGTTTCAAGAGCTCTACTCCAGGTACCTCTAGTTTCAATAGCTCAAGCTCCAGTTAGCTCTAGTTTCAATAGCTCGCACTTTGTGAAGCTCCGCGGAACGACGGTTGCGAGACGGTCTCGGATCATGGTCCGATCATGCTTGGAATCGTCCCTCCATTGCGATTAGAGTTTTTTTTCGCTGGTTTCTTGACGCGCAGATTATTTCGTGGCATTTTTTTGGCACGAGTACGGACGCCATGTGTGCGGTTTGCACAGATCATCATTCAAGAAGTGGAAACTCTGCAAGTCGAGGGGGGGAGAAAAACGAGAACCAAAAACAACAACACCAAACCAAACAACCAAAACAAAACCAAACCAACTTTTTTTTGCACGAGTCGAGGCGCTATGTGTGCAGGTTATGCACAAGTCACCTTAAGCTAGTAAAAGAAAGAGAAGTGAACCGGCCAGCAAACCGAAACGGAAAACAACCAGAAAAGCCCCCCAAAACAAAGCAACAAAGAAACAACAAAAACCCACCAAAACGCTGGCTAGGTTCGTATCTCAGGATGGCTGAGTCAGCCTGAAGAGCGGTGAAACAGGATGCGGCCTGGGGCAATGAATTCTTCCCTTGCACTCAGTACATCATGATCAGGTTCATGTGCTTCGTTCACCATCGAAGTAGAATCACTGCCCTTTGACTGACAAAATCATCTGCATTCATGATACAAGGGCATTCGAACTGCCCGGCTTGCTTCAAACAAAAAGGGGCAATGTTGCACAGTCGGAAGGCTGCTAGGTCAAAGTTGTGTGACATGGAAGGCATTCAAGGACAGCAGCATTCCACTATCATGCTCACAAGGTTCCAGAGAGGTATGGACCCTATGAGACATTCCGACTCAGGGAAAACAGCGGGATCAGCAATCGAAAACTACAAATAGTCGAAAGGAAGATCCAGCGGAAGAAGTCAGTGTCCCGCCGACACTGCTGTATATTGCCAGACGGGCTTTCGGCTGCACACAGCTCTGCCAATTTCACAGAGTGGGAAAAAGCGTGACCTGGAGGGGGACTTATTCCAGAGTTAATGCGTTCCTCAAGTGTGACAACCTTGAAAGTGGGTTCGTCTTCTGCCACTCAATCGCAAGGATGAGGACAAATGGACAGATGATTCCTACGCAGAACCAAGTCAGTGGTAAGTGTCTAAATAGGCATTTTACTGAGCCCTTCGGCTGGCACCCGTGTAGAAGTACTGAGAGTTTTGCGGAATTCAACGCCCCTGTCTCACCTTCTGTTCTCCTGTTTGGTTGGCAACCTGTTTGGTACTGCTGGGGGAAGTAAATTTGCCCCAGAGAATTTGAGGGTTTTGAAGGCCAGATTCAGCTTCTGCAGTCCTTCTTCTTTTCTGCAAATGAAGAAGACACAAGGGTGTGTCAGCTACTTTTTTTGGGCAACTCTGATGGGGAGGTTGGAGTTCCTTGA